GCTCCTGACGACAGTATTGGGGGTCCCTTGGGGCCCTCTTGGGCCTTTTTGGGGCCCTCTTAGGCAGTCATGGAGCTTTCTTGGGGCCCGTGTGGCCGTCTTGGAGGTCCCTTGGGGCCGTCGTGGGGCCGCCTTGGCTCTTCTTGTGCCGTCCTGGAGTGATCTGAAGCCCTTATTGGCCAGCTTGGGGCCCCCGCGGATCCTTCGTGGGCTGTCCTGAGGCCCTCTCGGGCTATCTTGAGGCCGCCTTGTGCGAAAACCCTTCAGACACCTACGTCCAGAAAATTCAGGAGTTGGGCCTCTTCGGTCTCTGGATGTTCTCCTGGAGCCCTCTTGGCCGTCTTGGAGACATGGCCGTCTCGAGACCATTTTTGGGCCGTCTGAGGCGGTATTGGGGCGTCTAGGGCCATCTTGGTGGCCTTGATACCAGCCAGGAGGAGGAAAGGAGGAGGAGGAGGAAGAGGAGGAAGAGGATGGGAGCAATGATACTCGTCCCTTCTTGCTCCTCCCCCCTGATCATGGCCCCTCGTCCTGAGAGGATCAGGGATAAGGGGCCCCTGGGCAGTCCTGCGAGGTTATTTTAGGGGGGCGAGCTTGGGGCCGTTCGGAGGCCAGCTTGAGGCGCTATTTCCGGAGCCATTTGGGCTCAAGGCGGGTTCGGGCACGCGGGACGGCGTCGGCCGATGGGACGTGATCGCGTGGATCTGTGCAGCTATGGCGGATTCTGATGCGAATCGGATCCTGGTGGCCGTTAGGTGCCGCCCGACCAGCCAGAAGGAGCTGTCGAAGACGCCTACGGTGAATCACCGCCGCCCCTTGCCTTTTGGAAGAGCATCTTTTTGGCCGAACGTTGCGGCCAGAGCTCGGCCAGGCTGCCGGACTGCATGTTCCCCCAACTGTTGTGGGCACCCTTCAGAGAGCACGCGAGAAAGAAAACAGGAGGAGGAGGAGAAGGAGGAAATAGGAGGAGGAGGAGGAGGAGGAGGAGGAGAAGGAGGCCTCTTGGAAGCCTCTTGGGGCACTCGAGTGGCCTCCTTGGAGCTTCCTGGAGGGGGGCCTCCTTGGGCCTCTTCGGGGCCCTTGGGGGCCTCTTGGGCCGTCAGGGAGCCATCTCGGAGGCCTCTTGGGCCTTTTTGGAGCCATCTTGATGGCCTCTGGGGCCGTCTTGGGCCGTCGGGAAGCCGAAAATGAGCAATCGCCAAATCCTTCGAAGTCTTAGGAGAACCAGCGATTCTGGCCAATTCGGGCCAGCCTGGAGGTTCTCTTGGATGCCTCGTGGGTCGTTTTGGAGGCCTCTTGGGCCGTCTTGGGCGATATTGAGGCCATCTCGGGGACATATCGGCCCGTTTTGGGGATATCTTGGGACCGTCTTGGAGGGCCGTCTTGGAGGCAACTTGGCGGCCATGTTGGCCGTCTCGGGGCGAGTTGTATCGGACGTTGGATATTTACACGTCCTTCCAGGTGGCCAGCGGATTGGACCGAAGGCCCATTAGAAGCTTTCAACAACAAAAACAACAAGCATCCAACATCTGGCACGCCATGCATCCTTGTGGCGAGCCACAGGGGGCGGCGGATCGAAGACGCCTACGACGAATCACCGCCGCCCCCTGCTTTTTGGAATCGCCCATGTGCCCGAGCGTTGTGGCAAGATCTCTGCCAAGCTATCGGACCAATGTGTTCCCACAGCCGAGGTGGAAACCCTTCGGGGAACACTTGGGGGAGGATGGCGGGGAAGATCAGGAGGAGGAGGAGGAGGAGGAGGAGGAGGAGGAGGAGGAGGAGGAGGAGGAGGAGGAGGAGGAGAAGAAGGGGGCATCCTCGGAGCCTCTGGGTGCACCTTGTGGCCTCCTGGGAGCTTCCTGGGAGCCTCTTGGAGGCATCTTGGGGGCCTCCTGGGGCCTCTTGGGGGCCTGTGGGAGCTTTCCGGGTGCCTCTTTGGCCATCTTAGGGCAATCCTGGCCTGTCTGACGCCGCCGGAAGCCGTCTTGGGGGCCTCCCTGGGCCGACTTGGGGCCCTCTTGGGGTGCACCAGGGCCGTCTAGGATGCCATCTTGGGCGTCTTGGAGGCCTCTAGGGCCGTCTTGGGGCCCTCCTGAGGCCGTCTTGAGGACCTCTTGGGCCGTTCTGGGGCCATCTTGGCGGCCTCTTGGGCGATCTTGGGCCGATATTTGGGGCCTCTTGGGCCGTCTCGTGTCGTCGGAAGGCCAAAAAGAATCAAAAACACAAATCCTTCAAACACCGATCGCAAATCCATGATTTTGGCCTTCGGGCCTTCCTGGAGGCCCTCTTGGAGGCCCTCTTGGAGGCCTCTTGGGCCGTCTTGGTGGCCTCTTGGGGGCTTCTTAGACCATCTTGGAGCCATCTTGGGCCGTCTGGGTGGGCTCCTGGCCCGTCTGACGCCGTCGGAAGCCGTCTTGGGGGCCTCCTCTGGGCCCACTTGGGGCCCTCTTGAGGTGCTCCAAGGTCGCCTTGGAGGCCATCTTGGGCGTTTTGGAGGCCTCTGGGGCCGTCTTGGGGCCCTCTTGAGGCCGTCTTGAGGACCTCTTGGGCCGTTCTGGGGCCATCTTGGAGGCCTCTTGGGCGATCTTGGGCCGATATTTGGGGCCTCTTTGGCCGTCTCGTGCCGTCGGAAGGCCAAAAATAATCAAATATTACGCTACCGAGGAACCCCACATACCTATGTTATTTCCCATGTGTACCATCGGTGCTTCTGCTGCTGCTCCTCCTTCTCCTCCTCGGTGTCCTCCTGCTGCTGCTTCTGCTGCTGCTGCTGCTGCTTCTGCTGCTGCTGCGTCTGCTGCTGCAGCAACTGCTGCTGCTGCTGCTGCCGCCGCTGCTGCTGCCCCACCTCCCCGTCCTCCTCCTCCTCCTCCTCCTCCTCCTCCTCCTCCTCCTCCTCCTCCTCCTCCTCCTCCTCGACCTCCTCCTCCTACCTCCCAGCGCACCCCCTGCGGCGTCGAGGAAATGCCACGCCTGCCACGCCCTGGGAGCCTGCAACGCATAGGGCCCCCACCCCCAGCGCACCCCCTGCGGCGGCGAGGAAATGCCACGCCTGCCACGCCCTGGGAGCCTGCAACGCATAGGGCCCCCACCCCCAGCGTACCCCTTGTGGCGTCGAGGAAATGCCACGCCTGCCACGCCCTGCGAGCCTGCAACGCATAGGGCCCCCACCCCCAGCGCACCCCCTGTTGCGTCGAGGAAATGCCACGCCTGCCACGCCCTGGGGGCCTGCAGCGCATAGGGCCCCCACCCCCAGCGCACCCCCTGTGGCGGCGAGGAACTGCCACGCCTGCCACGCCCTGGGAGCCTGCAACGCATAGGGCCCCCACCCCCAGCGCACCCCCTGCGGCGTCGAGGAAATGCCACGCCTGCCACGCCCTGGGAGCCTGCAGCGCATAGGGCCCCCACCCCCAGCGCACCCCCTGTGGCGTCGAGGAAATGCCACGCCTCCCACGCCCTGGGAGCCTGCAACGCATAGGGCCCCCACCCCCAGCGCACCCCCTGCGGCGGCGAGGAAATGCCACGCCTGCCACGCCCTGGGGGCCTGCAGCGCATAGGGCCCCCACCCCAAGCGCACCCCCTGTGGCGTCGAAGGAATGCCCTGTGTGCTATGCTGTGCTGTGCTGTGCTGCTGTGCGGTGAGCTGTGCTGTGCTGTGCCGTGTTGTGCCGTGCTGTGCTGTGCTGTGCTGGGTTGAGCTGAGCTGAGCTGTGCTCAGCTGTGACGTGCTGAGCTGAGCTGAGCTGAGCTGAGCAGTGCTGTGAGGAGGAGGGGAAGAGTGAGGTGTGTGAGAGAGAGGGAGACGGAGAGGGAGGTGAGACGCGGGTGCGGCGCGGCAGGGAAGAAAACAATAACCCCACGAAGCATGTGGGGAAACACACAAATCCTTCAAACACCGATCGCAAATCCATGATTTTGGCCTCTTCGGGCCTTCCTGGAGGCCCTCTTGGAGGCCTCTTGGGCCGTCTTGGACGCCTCTTGGGGGCTTCTTAGACCATCTTGGAGCCATCTTGGGCCGTCTTGGTGGGCTCCTGGCCCGTCTGACGCCGTCGGAAGCCGTCTTGGGGGCCTCCTCTGGGCCCACTTGGGGCCCTCTTGAGGTGCTCCAGGGCAGTCTAGGATGCCATCTTGGGCGTCTTGGAGGCCTCTGGGGCCGTCTTGGGGCCCTCTTGAGGCCGTCTTGAGGGCCTCTTGGGCCGTTCTGGGGCCATCTTGGAGGCCTCTTGGATCGTTTCGTGCCGTCGGAAGGCTGGAATGAAGCAAATGCCAAAATCCTTCAAAGATGTATGAAAAACCAATGATCTTGGCCTCTTCGGGCCCTCCTGGAGGACGTCTTGGAGACCTCTTGGGGGCCCTTTGGGCCGTCTTGGGCCATCTTGGAGGCTTCTTGGGAGGATTCAGAGGCATCTTGGAGCCGTCTTGGGAGCTTCTTCGGCGGACTTGGCGGCAATTTGGACCATCTTGGGCCATCGTGGAGGCCATCTTGGGCCAACGTGACCATCTTAGAAGCCATCTTGAGCCGTCTTGGAGATTGTTTTGTGCACGTTGAGGTCGTTTGTGCCGCCTTCTGGGTGGCCGGCGGGACGGGCCGAAGCACCAGTGGGAGTTCTTTCGGAAAAAGCACCCAAACCAAACCGTAAGAAGTTGAGCACGCTTGGCACCCCTGTCGCAAGACCACATGGGGCGGCGGATGTAGTGGCCTTCGGCCCATCCCGCCACCGTGCCTTGGACCGATCACTTGGCGACTCGAGGCCCTCTTGGACCGTCTGAGAGGCCTCTTAGGGCCCTCTTGGCCCGTCTTTGCGCCCCCATGGACCGAAGAAGTGATGCGAGAAGACGCCTTGAGCGCGCCGAAAGCCCCGCGAGATCTGTGAATTTGGGGTCCGGGCCTCTTTTTTACATTACCCTCAGGATGGAGGGCTGAGGCTCAGGGGACCGAACAAGGGACCCTTGGGCACACCAACTCGTGCCTCGCAGGCACGGTGGCGGACAGCAGGGAGGTGCGTTCGACGCCGACGCGCTGTCTTGCAGCACCGACACGATAGTTCTGAAGTCTTCTGGCCTGGTGGATGTGGACGCAGGCTACAACTTTGATCAGAAGGAGTTCGGATACGATCGTGTCTTTGGCGACAGCTCTACGCAGGAGGAGGTGTACAATGCGATTGGAGAGCCGTTGGTGAAAAACGCCATGAACGCATACAATGGATGCATTTTTGCGTACGGCCAAACGGGTTCTGGTAAGACCCACTCCGTAGTCGGAGATCTTACCAGTGAAACTGGCAGTGGAATCCAGCCGCGTTCGTGTAAGCGCATATTCGAGTTGCTGTCTCAAAGAAAAGGCGACAACGCGAGCTTCGAGGCAACATGCTTGGCGACTTACATGGAGATATACAACGAGAAAATATTCGACCTGCTTAGCGCAGGTAATAACTCCAAGGACGAGCTGAATGTGCGCTTACACCCGACTCTGGGGCCGATCGTGCCGAACCTCATGGAGTGCCCCATCCAGAACTATTCGGACACCATGGAACTCTTCGACTATGGCGCCAAGAGGCGTGCTGTAGGAGCCACGCAGATGAACGAGGTGTCCTCGCGCTCCCACGCCATCTTCACGCTGCAGATCCGGACGTCCATGAGAACCTCCGCCGGCAGCACTGTCGAGAGCCAGGCCAAGATCCACTTCGTGGATTTGGCCGGCAGCGAGCGGCAGAAGAAGACGCAGGCAACTGGCGCGAGGCTGAAGGAGGGGATAGGCATCAACCAGTCCCTGTCCACCTTGTCGCGCGTGATCTCGGACCTGGCCACAAAGGGCGGCAAGGCGCTACCGCCGTTCCGCGAGTCCAAGCTCACGCTTCTTCTCAAGGACGCCCTCATGGGCAACAGCCGCACAGCCCTGCTGGCCTGCATCGGCCCTGCCAAGTCCAACATACTCGAGACCATCAGCACCCTCGAGTTTGCTGCCCGGTGCAAGCTCGTGCAGACGAAGGCGAGAAGGAACGAGGAGTCCAGGGCCACAGTGATACAGAAGCTGACGGCTCAGAAGGAGGCCATCCAGGAGCAGCTGCAGCTGGAGAAGGCGAAGAGCGAGGACCTCTGCAGGCAGCTCCAGATGGAGCTCGAGAAGGTGGAGCACTCGGAGCGCAGCGCCGAGGAGGCGCTCGCCGCCAAGAGGGCCATCGAGGAGAGGCTGCGGGAGCTGGAGCTCGAGAAGGAGTCGATGGAGCAGGCCTTCCAGGAGAAGGCCTCGCAGGAGAAGGCCTCCCAGGAGCTGGAGGCCAGGCGGGCCCAGGAGACCAGCCCCACCCGCAGCGCTGCCAGCCGGTGGCGCGTCGCCGGCACGGTGGCCGCGAAGATGGCGGAGCTGGAGAAGCGCAGGCCGCCACGGGGGGAAGCGGGTCTTCTCGGGCAAAGGGGCCCCGAGGCGTTTCACCGCTCGCGGGCTCTCGGGGCCCTCCACGGGCCCCGGGGCGATCAGAGAAGACGACTCGGGAGGAGCAGCTCGTCCTGATGAGAGGCCCGCGGGGTCCAGGGCCCGGGGCCCCTCAGGGCCTGTTTCCCCCCTGTGCCGGGCAGGCGGGAGGAGGTCACCAAGCTGGAGGAGCGCGAGAGGACGTCGCAGGAGCTGCGGGCCAAGATGGAGGCGGAGCTGCAGGCCCAGAGGGCCCGCGAGCTGGAGTGCCAGCAGCAGATGGAGGACCTCAGGGCGCTGCAGGCGAGCTGGGCCGTCGACCAGCAGGAGATCCAGTCGAGGCGCGAGGAGCAGCAGCGGAGCCGCGAGGAGGAGATGCAGAGGCTGGGCATGCACCTCACCGGCCTGGACTCGAGGGACTTGGCCTCGGCGCCGCGGCTGGTGAACCTGCACCCAGACCCAGCGCTGAAGGGCTGTCTGGTTTACTACCTGCCGATCGGGGACGCCGTGATCGGCTCCGACGAGGAAAAGTGCAGGGTCCGGCTCACCGGCGCTGGCATCGGTCCGGAAGCTTGCGTGGTTGCCAACGCTGACAACGTGTCGTTGTCGGTGAAGCCCATGGGCAGCCATTGCCTCCTGAGGGTCAACGGCGCGCTGGTGGAGGCCGCCGGGAAATCCTTGGCCGACGGCGACCGCTTGGCAGTTGGGCGCGCCGTGATCTTCAAAGTCCACATACCGAAGGACCCGGCCCGTCGGTTTTCCCTCGCCCCTCCTCCTCCTCTCGTTGTTGGTCCTCCTCTTCCTGCTCCTCCGTGACTGGTGTGTCGCGTGGTGGGCTCCCTTTTCCTCAATGGACAAGCTGGCGACTTTTCATCATCTCTGCATTGGGTCCATGGAAAATAAGTAATCAGACAATGACACACATGTAAAACAAGTCGGAGGTCCGCGCGGATCTCTCGGATCGGCGCTGGACCCCCCTCCCTTGCGCGCGGAGCGCACCAGGGGCTGCGCCAGAGGCGCCGCCAGGGTGGCCCCAGTGCTGATCCGAGGAATCCGCGCGGACCTATGAGCTTTCATGTCTATGTCAGCTTTTGCTCCCCCGAGAAAAACCATATCCAAGGACGACGTGGAGGGAACAAGGGGGCAGGGGGAGGCGGAGGAGGAGGAGGAGGAGGAGGAGGAGAAGGAGGAAGATGATGATGAGGAGGAGGAGGAGAAGGAGGAGGAGGAGGAGGAGGGGGAGAGGAGGAGGGGGAGGAAGAGGAGGAGGAGGATGAGGAGAAAGAGGAGGAGGAGGAGGTGGAGGAGGGGAGGAGCGGCCTCTAGGAGGCACAGCGTCGTCCAGCGTCGCCGTGCACCCACCGAAACCTGAGTCACCAGCGAGGCGGGCTTACACTCGGCCGAAGGAAACAACATTAATTCAATTGCAACTCGCATGACAGATCGAAGATGAAATACCCAGAGTAGCAGATGAGATATCAAAGTTGAAATATCGAAACATGGAATATCAAACATGAAATACCAAACTAATTACTTAAAAACAGAGTCATAGGAAAGAGATCACAAACATATGCATTCAACAACAAATCATATGAAATATAAAATACCGAAGGACCCACAGGAAAAGGGCGAGACCGACGGCACTCTCGAGTTCGACGCCGCGATGGAGGAGGTGGCGGCATGTGCGCAGGTGGACCCCCTCTGGGAGAACGGGCTGCGGAAGGCCATGCACCTCGTCCGGAGCGACTACGGGGAGAGCGCCGCGAACGACCTGCTGGCGCGGGCGAAGCGCGCATCGGAGGTCATCTTGAAGAACAAATAGCGGCATAAACATAATTGCACATGTAAACGTTCATTGCGTAATGCATCAAATGCGACAAGGGTCCCCATTGGACGGCAACCAGAAACAGATGCCGAATAACAAACATAGGTCAGAATAGCAAAAACGACACTCTTAGACGTATGAAATCAAGACTGTCTCAGTTACAAATGCGCGGATATCTTGGATCGGCGATGGGGCCACCCTGGCGGCGCCGCCCCTGGCGCGCTCCGCGCGTCAGGGAGGGGAGTCAGGGGCAGATCTAACAAGCCCGCGCGGACTGTCGAAAGTTTACGTAGCCCCCCCCGCCCCCCCGCAGTTGTGGGTAAGAGTGATGGGGCGTGAGCTGGGTGGGTCGCGGGTGGGCCGCGGGTGAGTCGCGGGGTAGGTCGCGGGGAGGTCGTTGGGGGATCGCGGGCGAAGACGACGACAGCAAGAACAATAATAACTGTAAGCTTGTTCGTCCTTACCTTTCCGCGTGCCATCCAACACGTACATCCCCAACCCTCGATACCCGCCCTCTTCGTCTTCGGTCGTACCCCTTTGGGGGTACATCTTCGTTACCTGCCCCGCGGATTTAGCGCAGCAGGAGGATGAAGCATGAGAGGGGAGGACGAATTGATGGAGGAGGGAGAAGGATGAAGCATGAGAGAGACCAGCAGGAGGGGGGCTGGGAACAGAAACCACGTGGGAGAACCAGACGGGCAGACCAGGCGAGTAGACCCTAACGGGCGGGTCGGGAAGGCGGGCCCAGGCGGCCAGGTCGAGCAGGCGGGTTGCTGAGCAGGCGTGTTGTTGAAGCGTGAGTCCCGCGTGAATCGCGAGGAAGTTTCGAGCGATAGCGCGATTCCCAAGTAAACCGTAAGAAAAGCCAAAGCGACAGCGTGATTCCTGGGTGTCGAGGGCTCGGTGTCTGACTAAGTTGCTTGGACGTCCCACGCGAAAGCGAGATTCCTGCATAAATTTAGAGGAAATCCCGCGCGAGACCGCGATGTTGGAATACATTGCGAGGAAGAAATCAGGCAGGAGCCGCTGTTGTTGTAAAGACAGCACAGTTTGAGCACGGTGTGCTTCTCTTATTTGCCCGAGGGGGGGGCGCTTCCATTGAAAAAACAGAGTGCGCAACGGTGGGGGCCAATAGTTTTTCTTCAAGAGTGAGAGTTCAACAACAACGCAACAACAACAATCCGCACCGCAGAACCCCATTGCAGCCACGCGCCCAGGGACAATGAATGAACATTGAAAAATATTGAACGATATTTTTTAGACTGTTCGTCCTTACCCGCCCGCGTGCAATCCAACACGTATATCCCAGTCCCTCTGTGCCCGCCCGTTTCGCCTTCGATCGCACCCCCTTGAGGGTGCATCTTCGTGACCTGCCATGCGCTAAGCGCAGCCCTTAACCAGGGGAAGAGAAGACGGATCGAAGAGGGAGGAATAAGGGTGGAGCACTGGATTGGCAGAAGGGGGGCCATGAGCAGAAAGCATCTGGCAGAACCAGACGGGCTGGGTTGCTGAAGCGCGAGTGCTGCATGAAACGCAAGGAGCGTTTGGGCGATAGCACATTCCTGAACGTCGAGGGCGCGGCGTTTGGATAAAGTGCGAGAGCCCACGCGGCCAGGTCGAGCAGGCGGCTTGCTGAAGCGTGTTTCCTGCACCATGGATCGCGAGGAAATTCTCGAGCGATGACGCGGCTTACCAGGTAAACCGTAATAGAGTCAATGCGATCGCATGTTTCTTGAATGTTGAGGGCGCGAGGTTTGAATAAGTTGCATGGAAGTCTCGCGCGAAAGCGCGATTCCTGCATACACTCTGGGGAAGTCCTGCGCGAAAGCGGGATTGTTCAATTAGTTATGACGAAATATCATGCGGGAGCCGTTGTTTTGTTGTAAACCCGTGGCCAACAATACAGTTTGGTGGCCCCACGTTCTCTTTGGTAGATGGCAAGGTCGGTCCTAAACCCTCGGTGCCCGCCGTTTTCGTTTTCGATCGTACCCCTTTGGGGGTACATCTTCGTCACCTGCCATGCGCATGTAGCGCAGCCTTTAAAACAGGGGAAGAGAAAGCGGATGGAAGGGGGAGGGAGAAGGATGAATCACGAGAGAAAAAGTAGCAGGAGGGGGGCAAACAGCAGAAAACCTGTGGCAGAACCAGACTGGCTGACCGGGCGGGCAGACCCACGGGCAGGTGGGGAAGGCGGGCCCAGGCGGCCAGGTCGAGCAGGCGGGTTGCTGAAGCGTGCGCCCTGCATGAATCGCAAGGAAGATCTCGAGCGATAGCGCGACTCCTAAGTAAACCGTGATAAATCCACCTTAAGAGCGTGATCCCTGAGTATCGAGGGCGCGGCGTCTGAATACATGGCAAGGAAGTCCCACGCGAGAGAGCAGTTCCTGCAGAAACTGTATCGCAATCCCGCGCGAGAGCGCGATTTTGGGAATACATTGTAACGAAGTATCAGGCCGGAGCCATTGTTGATGTCTCTCGGGGGCCAAGCGCCTAACTTGGTGACCCCGCACCACCCCCTCTAAAAAGCAGGGTGCGATCCCCAGCAGGAGCATATCAGTTGACAAACGCACTGTACCCCAGATGGGCGAGATCAACCATATTTATCTTAACATATGTGAATTCAACAACGACAACAACAGCAACAGCAGCAACAACAACAGCAACAACAACAGCAGACAATAACAACAACGACAATAACAGCCACAACAACAACAGCAGCAACAACAACAACCAGCATTGTCATGCTCAGTTTAAGATTGTTCGTTTTTTTACACGTTCGTGTGCCGTTGAACACGTATGACCCAAACAATCGGTACCCGCCCTCTTCGTCTTCGATCGCACCCCCCTTGGGGGTATATCTTCCTTACCTGTCACGCGCATGTAGTGCAGACCTTAAAACAGGGGAAGGGAGGACGGATGGAAGGGAGGAGGAAAAGGATGGATCACGAGAGAAACTTGCAGGAGAGGGGGCACGGAGCGGAAAACACGTGGCAGGGGGCGGGCAAACCTTAGCGGTCGGGCCGGGAAGGCGGGCCCAGGCGGCCAGGTCGAGCAGGCGGGTTGCTGAAGAATGCGTTCTGCACGAATCGCGAAAAAACTTTCCGAGCGATAGCGCGATTCCCATATAAGATTATATGAGAGGCTAAAACGAAAGCGTGATTCCTGAGGGTCTCGGGCGCGGCGTTTGAATAGATCGCGAGGCAGTCCCACGCGAGAACGCGGTTCCTGCATACATTGTACGGCAATCCCGCGCGAAAGCGCGATTTGGAAATGCATTGTGACGACGTATTACGCAGGAACCGCTGGTACTGTAAACATGGGGCCGACAAAACAATATGAACACGAAGAGTTTTCCTGTTAGAAAACCGTGTGCGAGCCCGTAGAGGGACACTTTATTTGAAAAGCCACAGTGTGCACCAGTGGGGGATACTTTTATTCTTCAAAAGCGAGAGTTTAACAACAACGTAACAATAACAACAACACCACCACCAACAACAGCAACACAATTCATGTTTATAATGTTCGTTATTATTTGCTCGCGTGCCATTCAACACATGTATCCCACACCCTCGATACGTGCCCTCTTCGTCATCGATCGTACCCATTTGGGGGCATATCTATATACATGCAACGTGTACGTCGTGCGGCCCCTTAGGCAGGGGAAGAGAGGACGGATGGAATGAAAAGGACAGGGGAGGGAGGAGGATGGAGCAGGATAGAGAGAGTGGCAGGAGGGTGGCTACGAGCAGAAAGCACGTGGTATAACCAGACGGGCAGATCGGGCGGGTAGACCCGAACCGGCGGGTTGGCAAGGCGGGCCAGGGCGACCAGGTCGAGCAGGCAGGTTGCTGAAGCATGCGTTCATGGGGCCACGAAGGGCGCGAACGAGCGGGGGCCACGAAGGGCAGAGAATGCGGGGCCATAGAGGGCAACGACAGGGCCACTGAGGGTAGCAACGGAGCCACGAAGGACAGCGAGGGGGCCACAAAGAGCGATATGGGGGCCACGAAGGGCATGCATGCGGGGCCACGACGGGCGCGAACGAGCGAGGGCCACAAAGGGCATGCGCATATTAGGCCAGGGCCACGAAGGGCAGCGAGGAGGCGACGAAAGGCTGCAGCAGGTCCACGAAGGGCATCGAGGGGGCCACGACGGGCTGCAACGGGACCACGAATGCAGCGAGGAGGCCACGAAGGGCTGCAACGGGGCCACGAATGGCAGCGATGGGACCACGAAGGGCTGCAACCGGGCCACGAAGGGAAGCGAGATCTTGATTCCCAAGCAAGTCCTAAGCGCGAGCGCGACTCAGGGGTGCCTGAGTGTCGGGAGCGCGGCGCTTGAGTAAATTGCGGCGAGTTCCAACGCAAGAGCGCAAGTCTCCAGCGAGAGCGCGACTCCAGAGCGCCGAGAGAACGAGTCCTGCATAACTTGTAAGGAAGTCCCCAGCGACAGCCCCCAGCGACAGCGCGATTCCTGAGTAAAGTGCGAGGACGTCTCAGAAGGGAACGAGGGTCCTGGCTAAATTGTAAGGAGGTCTCAAGCAGGAGCCGTTGTTGTTGTAATCCGGGGCGCAAGACGCAGTTTGAGCCTAGTGATTTCTTCTGCTTAAAAACTGGGTGCAAGCCGAGGGGGGGCACTCCAACTTGAAAAAACATATATGTTACCGGATGGGGAATAAACAATAATGATTCGTCTGTTGTGGGAGTTCAACAAAAGTCAGTTTAACACTGTTCGCTCCTATTGAGCACGTGCCAATCAATACGTATAGCCCAACCCGTCGGTACCCGCCCTCGTCGTTTTCGATCGTACCCCCTTGAAGGTAGATCTTCCTTGCCTACCATGCGCGATTAGTGCAGCCACTGAAACAAGGGAAGAGAGGACGGGTGGAAGGGGGAGGCAAAAGAATTGCGCATGAGAGAAATTAGCAGGAGTGGGGGCAAGAAGCAGAAAACAAGTGGTATAACCAGACGGGCAGATCGGGCGGGTAGACCCACAGCGGGCAGGTGGGGAAGGCGGGCC